CGTGCCGCGAATCGCGAAGCGCGCGGCCGCGGGAATAATTGCGGCCGCGGCGGAGGTATTTAGCGGTAAAAACCGTTGCGTCGTGCTCCCGGTTCTAATCTCGTTGGCCGGATCGATGCGCCTTGAAAAAGATCTCCCGAGGGTCGCGCGATAAATTAATGCGCTTTATCGCGGCTTCTTCAGGGTCGTCCTGGCTCGCGTAGCCGTCAAAGGGAGCCGCGCCGGTTAACGCGAGTGAGCGCGCGCCGCGACTTCTCGCGTAATGGTTCCCCGGGATTCGTCGCTCGGATCGGTCTTCTCTCGGTTTCCGGTTTCCTCGCGAGGATAACGGGCGCGCGGGATTCACCGTGGGACGATCGGTCGGCGCCGCGGCCAAAAACGAACGCTCCGTCCGTCCGTCCGTCCGTCTCCCCGTTTCCCCGTTTCGCGGGAGGACATTGATCGAGAGCTCGCGGAGAACTGTCTCGGTAATATTCCGGATTATCGGGGGAGTCGACGTCGCGGCGAGCACCGAACCGACTAAATACGATTATGAGAATCCTCGTCCGATTTCGGAGCTAATCTAATCGGAATCCTAGTCATCGCGTATAGACTGGAAAACCTAATTTGCCGCCGTTGAGTCCCGGGGATTTCGAGCGAGTCGATCCGAGCCGTCCAACCGTGTAACGTTCGACCAAGCCGCGCCGGCTCGCTCGCGAAAGATAATCGTTATCGGTCTACTCTCGTTGCCAAGACACTCGACGGCCGACGTAAAGGAGAACCACGCGTAACGACGGTATCGGGGACGGCCGAAGTTTCGTTTCGATATCGAATCGCAATGGCGTTTTCACCGGGCGCGTAAGAGGGATTGGCACAGATTTTTCCAAGGTTGTAACGGGGGGCAATTTATCGGTCGATCGATGGGAAAGAAGGCCGAACGAATATCTACCGGAGCAACGAATAAAAGTATCGGAATGGCTTCGGCCGTCCGTAAATCTACCTAAAAGCATTGCGATTCTTAAGGATTTCTGGGTAAATTGAAGCGATCGCGATCGCCGCTCGGCCGACCGTTCGCCTGCTCGCTGACCGAATCGCGATTCGCCGGTAATTGGACCGGTCCCGGGAGGAGAGAGAAAACACCGGGGAGACTGGTTATCGGTCGAAGGAACTCTTTATTGTACGCGCATTATTGAATTGTATACAATCAATCGCATCCATTCGCAAATCTCGACACACACACGCGCTCTCTGTTTCTTCTAATAATACTGTGGCGGAGGTGTTACAGTTGGTGTGGATATTCAAATTATTCGCTAATTAAATAGAGTTACGTTACAAATAAATTATAGGTTCGCTTAATCTATAGGTACGATTAAATTATATTATTCGCGCGCGGTTAAGAAGAATCACGTCCGCTTCCCCCGTCGGCGTGTGCTCGGCCGGTTCACTCGTCGGAGCCGTTGGACCCGTTCCATCCGGACGACGCACGATCACCGCTCGAGGCGCCGATCGAGGAGCGCTCGCCGAATCGGATGCATCGAGTGCGCGGAGGACGCGGATCGTCGGCGATGTTCGCGAATGTCTCTCGGTCGCGCGACGCTCCGTCTCGTCTCGTTTCTCCCGATGGCACGCGTCATCCTCTTGGACGATTGAAACGTCGTGTTCCTCGACGGCGGGATAACGAACCGAAGTGGTAATCAGATTGTATCCGAAGTACCGCTCGTGCGGTGATCCGATTTAATCCGTGTATCGACCATTGTCACACGAACCTGTCGCTCGCACGGTCTGCCGGACAGCACGCCCCGGCTCGGGCTCGTCGTTTCCGCGGCCGCGGCGAGTCTCTCGACTCTCGTCGCTCGCCGGCGACGAGGAATCGCGATAGAAGAATCGGAGGAGTAGCCGGAAGGTTCACTTGCAAACGGTGATCCACTCCTCCACCGTGCAGTTCTGGCATTTCACGACACAGCACCACTTAAACTGGCATCCGCACAGCTCGACGCGGCGCTGTCTGACGACGTTGTACCCCCGTTCGCAACACAAGCTGCCGCACCCGTCCCCGCCGGAGCTGGTCTTGTTGCACTTGCGACCCGAGGTGCCAGGGATGTCCGCGGTGGGGTCCCTCTCGCAGAAGTTCGGCGATTTTTGGTAGTAGAACAACTCTTTAGCGAGGTCCCGTGGCCTCCTCTTGCGGCCGCCGCCGTTCCCACCGGCCCCGCCGCGATGTTTCCGTTGCCTCTGCCGGTCCGGCCTCCTCCTCCGCGACCCCCTGACTCTGGTCAACGGCGTGACGCTGCCCAGGTTGCTCTGCGCGACCAGCACGGCGTTCCGGAAGCGATCCTTGAGCGTCTTCCCGACCACCCGGAAGTCCGGCACCACCTTCCAGCAGGTCTTCAGCTCGCAGGAACCGGACATACCGTGGCACTTGCAGTGCGGCCGCATGTTGCTCGCCACCGCCTGAAATCCCATCGTTCGATAGTCGGCCTCGCGTGGCTGCGCATACGAGGGGGAGGAACCGCGGCGTAGCGAGCCCACGGCGACGGTCACGAGCACGGAACGCTCGCGCGGACTGGTCAAGAGTCGCACGAACAGAGGGAGAAGAGAAAGGGGGCAATTTTCCTTTAGACAAAGAGGTGTCGCGCACCAAACGGTTAATGAGTCTGCGGCTGGGTGGTCCAGCCCCGGGCTCCGTCTTAATAACGTCGAGGCGAGACCGAGCGTGGAGAGGCGCACGGGGGAGAGAAACGGACTCGGCACGACTGTTCTCCTACTCCTCTCCACCCCTATTCACCGCCTCCTCCTCTCTCGCACGATCTCCCCCGTCTCCGTTCCTCTCCGTTTCCACCTCGACGTTTCTCGACGTTTTTCCATTTGTTTCGATACCGCGATCGCGAAACCCGAGTTCACGATCCGAACGATCGTGAAGCGAAACACGGGGGATCCGCTCGGGAAGGATAGGAACGCTCTCGGCCAGGATCCGGGAGAGGGAAGATCGATCGGAAGCTCGGCTTACCAAGCGGCCAGCTTGATTGTTGTGGAGATTGACCGTCGACTGTATATCCTCGGCCCTCTCGCGCGTGTCTAGGAACTGTCTCGAGAACTCCATGCCGTAGTCGAGGTTGTGAGAGCAGCCGCCCCACTTCCACTGGGTGCCCCTGGCCTTGGCAGGCGGCTTACCCTTGTAGCTCGACGGGTCGCATCCGCAGGAGAGCAGCCCGCCCATGCTGCACGCCCGTGCCACGCTGTGCGCCACCCCGGCCGCCGAAATCGCGAACGCAAACGCGGTCTCCCTGTAACCTGAAACGAAACCTTCCATTTCACCCTGTTCGCGCGGCCAAACTCCACCTAGAAAACTAGAGTATCAGTGGTCCGTGCCACGACGAAGCCAGCCGCGACGATCGCGTGTCCTTCGTATAAATGAAGAGGCTCGGTCTCACCGTGGCATTCCCGGTAACAGCATCGCATCTAGGAAACTAGAGCTAATAATCTCCTGTCAGCGGCGTCTGCTCCGTTCGAGTATATCCAGCGTTCTCGTTTTCCGCGCCGCGGACGAGGGACGCGCGAGAGAAAGGTGGAGGCATCGGGACGGGCGGACCGGACCGGTTAGCAAATTGCCGCTCGTCCACGATGACGCGGGAGAGTAATACACGCGAGCGATCGCGACGGGACGCGACGCGACGAGACGCGACAGCGGCGATCGCATTCGTCGTTTCTCTCGCGGGCGACGAGAACGCGAAACAGCGGGACACCGTGGAGCCGGGCTTCCGTAGAAGGAGCTCCGGGCCCGACGGATCGTTCGACGGATCGGCCGACAGACAGCCATCAGACGGAGTTCACCGGTAGATTATTCAGCCGTCCGTCAAAACAAAGCGTGGCCATCAGCAGCGGCGGCCGGCGGGCATCCATTGACTGCATGTATAAACGATCGCCCGGTGGGGTGCCCGAACACGTAATACCAAACTCTGCCCGCGGTGGCCGATCGCGACGACCGTTCCGCGCTTTCCTCCTTTTCCCGACCGGTCTCTCCTTTTCCGTTTCTTTCCTCGCGCGTTCGCGCGCCGCCGGCCGAACGCCGAATTAGGTCCCCTCGGAATCGTCGATCGGCTCGTCGGCCGTTCGCCGATGCGAATAAATCGCGTCCGGCCGACGGGGAAGGGGAGGCGGTTCGTAGAATTTGGAAACTCGTGGATCGAAGGGGGCGAGAGGAGATCGGGCCGTTTCGTTTGCGCGTAATGCGACGTCGGGCGCACTTTTTCTCCGGCGGCTCCAAGGTCTCTCGTCCCCGAAGCGTCGCTGGAGTCGCGTTGACGAATGGCCGATCGTCAAACCGCAATGGTGGCTGTCACCTTACAAACGATACGACACACGACTGCCCGCGGGCTCGGTGCCGTGTACGCCGACCGAACTGTCTCCCTTTCTCCGCGGCTGTTCGACAATGCCCACACATTACTCTGCCTCCCCCTGGCCCCTCCTCCGGCGGAGCTACTCCAATCCACGAATACCGGGCGGTATTTGCAGTATTCATGAGACCGAGATACCGGGGAGACGCGCTAAAGGCACATTCGAGAGGATTTGTGGTATTCGTTCCTGACACCCGATGAGGCACTGCGCGCCTGTCGTCGCGTCCCTCCTCTCTGCGTACCCGGCCCGGCCACCCCCGTTCGGCCGCCGCTCTTATTCTTCCCGTTTTGAATCCATGTTTCGAGCGCGACTCGCGACAGGGGCCGGTCCTCGGCGAGGCATGCTCTTTAATTTCGTCTTTATCGATTCACGTCGCGAAAGGATAGGCCGCGGGAGCTGGCCGAGTCGATCGTTGACATCCCCGGGTCCCGCATCCGGACTTCGTTCCGAGGTTCTCTGAACGTCTCCTTTTACCTCGGAGAACGCTGCTGTTGCTGCTGCTGCCGCTGCTGCCGCTGCTGCTGCTGCTGCGCCGGAGATTCGTCGTTCCCTCGACGAGGCCGCGGCGCGGCGGACTGGCCGACGTTCGACAGGACGAGCTGCTCCGCCGAGCGAGATCCCGGACAGCCGGTGCTCGATTACGTCGCCCTTCGTCGATCGTACGAAACGCGGCGACGTTAAAGACCTTCGTCCGCGATTTCGCCTTCGAGTCTTCGGGAATCGTGTAGATTTTTCGGCGATCGCCGGCCCGATAAAAACGTCGACGACGAGGTGGATCGGTCGCGGGACGGGGGACCGGTGGGGACGTGTTCGGAAGTCGTCGATATCGGTTCACTCCGTTTCGGAGAATGATAACCTTCTTCGTGCGCCGGAGCCCGGCATCCGAGACGAGAGAGGACGAAAACAGCTCTTTATATGGGCTCGCGGTGGGAGGGGTTGCTGAAAGCTTACGCTTTATACGGCTATTGGCAGCAACTGTTTTATAATGCAGATAGCTGCTGGAGGGCTGCTGCTGCTGCTGCTGCTGCTGCTGCTACCGCAACAGTTGCTGTTGCTCCTGCTCCCGCTCCTGCTGCTACTGTCCGATGGTAAGAGGAGCATGAGGGACTCGTAATAAATCCTCCACGGGGAGTTGTACGTCTCTTCTCGTGGACAGTGGAGAGGAGTCGAGGTAGAAAGAAGAGGAGGATGAGGCCGAGGTGCGCAGAGGGCCACGATGCCTCTTTACTCTTCGGCCCTTGACGCAGGGACCCGGTGACGGATGGCGCGCAGCCCTTACCCTGCTACCCTGTGTCAAGCCCAAATCACTGTTTAGATAACTCAATAGATAGCGTACCGGGTACGCGCTCGGTTACATCCACGGGAGCGTGCGCCTTCTTTTCGAGAGGCCCTCTCGCTCAGCTACTCTCCTATCCTCTCGGCGACGGGTTTTCAAATTGGTCCCGCTCCTCTAAGCTTCCACGGTATACACGTTTTTACCGTACTGATATCCGATAAGCGCGTACCAGTTTACGATCGCCGAGCCTCTCTCCAACCTCGTCGCGCAACGATCGCATTAACCCCTTGCGGTGTGATTTCCTTTGCGTCTAAGCACCTCTCACCAACGATAAGTTTATTATCCGAGCGGAACAGTCCTCCTCCCGTGTCCGCGCGCAACGAGCAGCGTCGATTTCGATCGAACCGATTTCCGAATCCTCGCCACGAGTCCCACTCGTCGTTACGCTCGAGGGGTTATACATCGTGTCGAATCGTCGCGGCGACATCGAAAGCTGTAAAAGCTTCGGCCCGATATTTCGATTTTATAATCGTACATCCTCGGCGCTCGGGAAAACCGCGGCGTTCTCGGGATATTTGAACAGGACTGCCGTTTCGAATTTGCTCCGCGCAAATCCTGTCCGGCATTTACGGGCATGTACCCTGTCATCGTTCCACGCGAAGAAGCGAATGTCGAGTATCGTGTCTCGTAGCCGGTCGCCTTGTGTGGGCCCCTGGGAGCGGGAGGAGGAGGAGACGGAGGATCGTTTCGTGTACATTTCATAATACATTAAGCCGTTTTGCCGAGGTTTAACGAATACGTGGCAAAAGAGTGACGCGGCGAGGGACGAGGCGGGGACGAGCGGCCGAAGGCGGGCCGCGAGCAGGAGGAGAACGGGGCTCGGAAGGAGCAACGAGAGGGCAAGAGGATCGTGTCCAAGAGATTTAACGACGCGCTCGCTCGCTCGCTCGCTCGCTCACGCGCGCGCGCGCGTTCACTTCGGAAGATACGCAGCCAGCACGAATTTGACACGGTGGATTTCTCGAATGACCGCGGGACCCTCGGCCGGCCACCGATGTCGTCTTTTAAAAAGCTGCTGCGCGGAACCGTTGGTAATGGTAAAGTACGGTCCGTTTCTCGGAAGCTGCTGCCCTCTGAAACTTCGGAAGGAACTTCGGACGCCGATCGGCGAGGACCGTTTTCACACGGATGATCCCCGAACGATACCGATGCGAGCGTGGAAAACGAATTTCAACGAAAACCGACGGTGCGAGCGGACGGAGGACAGAAAGAGCGGTGGAATCGACACCTCTAGCCTGGCCAGTCAGCAAAAAGAAGGTGTACCGATCCACGGGGACAGATAACGAGGAGAGACAGACGTGGCGGGCACCGAGATCGTGGCTGCGGACGGACAAACTTAAGCTTTCAGGTCAGGTGCGCTCGATGTCGCGCTCTCGCGCACTCGTCCGACACGATATATGTTTCCTCTTTCGACGCACGTACGCGCCGCGACGAATTTATATGTCACACTGGAATAGAACAGTCGAGGGGGCGATCTCCTCTGTTCTCGTCCCACCTCGGTCCTTGCTCCTCCTTTCTCTCACGGATTTGGGACAGGTTCTCGGAGCTGGCCGCGACCAAGGAGGCGCGCACAGACCGTATTCTGATTTAAGGAAGCGCGCCGTCTCTCGCCTACGCCGCTTCATCCTCGTCAACGACGTCGTAAAAGATTTCACCTTTCCTCGTGCGCCCCTTGCCTCCTCGATAGTCCTGCCGAGAGAATCGAGCGACGTCGCTCTGCCCGTGTTTTCGGACGTTTAGACGAAACGCGCTCGAACAGTTTGCAGGAAAATACTGTGGCGATTGTTTCGAGGTAAGGGAGAGACGTAATTGTTCTGCCTCGGAAAAAGGACAAACTTGCGCGCGTTCGATCGTAACGTTCTTCGGCCGCCAGATCGTTTCGTCTCGGTCGCCGCATAGCTTACCTCTTTGAAGAAGGACGCTGCTCTGCTGGGTTCTACTGCTCGGCGTCAGGGACGAACAGTTCCACCTGTGCCACATGAACTGGTGCTGGCACTCGGATATAGCCATCTGCAGACCTTTGATCGCGGCCACCGTCACGTCCGGATTTCTGTGGCATAGCTCGCGTTGCTCCTTTGTCAGGCCAGGAATACCGTTGCAGACCACGGCATTCCCGCTCACCCAATCGTCCACGGAGTTGCTCATTAAGCAGGTCGCGCTGGAAATCAAACGAAATTCACCAATTAAAGTTCCCGCGGCGTCGACGTCTGTCGGTGCCGCGCGAAACGGCTCGCGGCCGGGGAGTTCGGGGCCCCGGTCGTCCGGTTTTCCCACGGGGCGCACGCGCTTCGATCGCTTTGAGTGATTCTGCTTTCAGGGAATCCGGCCGGGGACATTCCTCGTGCCCGCGGCGCGATCTCCTTCCGATTCCTCGGGCTCATCCCCGCGCGCCGCACCGTTGCTCCCCTTTTGCCGCGCCGCGTGTACCACCGGTTATCGAATTCCCGATCGCGAACACGGTTGCTTTCGGATCCATCGCCGATTAAAGGAACACCGTACCTTTAAGTAGCCACGGACGGTTTCCTACCACGTTTCCACAAACTCGGACGCGAAAGTTTTGCGCCCAGCTGGCGGAGGCCGGGTGACGGAACGACGGCCGAAGGAACGCGCGGAGTAGTCTGTCACCGTCGCGTCGCCGATAACGATTCCAAGGGGCCGAGAGAGCTCGGCGTAAGACGCGCTCGAGATACGCGGTGAAATCGTCGGTAAATTTGCCACGGAGAGACAGTGGCTGGCTGCGTGCACTTTGGGCGCGCGTGCATCTTGCACGCGTCTGCTTTCCTTCGGGCAACTTTACGAGGCCGGGGTCGAAAGGTGGCGCGATAACTCTCAAAGAGCCGCTCGAATATCCGGCCGCCCGCCCTCTCCTCCGTTCGCGTTCACCCGTGCCTAGCGTATCGGCCCACCCTCCCGTCACCCCTTTTCCAGCCCTCGCCGTCTGCCCTTTCGCATCGTCGCGATAACGGTGTTCACCTCTCGGAAGAAGAGCTCTTAAACCGCTATCTTAAGCGACAGTTTCCGCCTAATGGCGGCGCATTACGGGGCACCGGGTGTTAATTAATTTTCAGATAAAAATGAAACGCGAAGAGAGGCGAAAGGAGCAGCTATATCGCCGCGCCGGGAGGGGCGGGCCCGAGGAATACAAGCTCGAGGCTCCGTTCGAGCGGCGTTCGCCGCGTTTTGTACCCTTCACGGCGCGGAAGTGTCGCGCGAGGTTCGTTCTCTCGTTCCCTTCGAATGGAGAGGAGCCGGTGTCGCGTCGCGGTGCTCGTTTATTTGCCGCCCGGGACGGTCAATTTTTTCTCCGGGCCGGGTCCTTCGGGGGTCCCGAAGGATGTCACGGACGGATGCGAGATTCCCGGCGGGACGGTGGTTATCTGCGGGTACAAATTAGCCGACGAGCTTCTCCTAAAGTAAAAGCTGTGTATAGCACCCGCGCGAACGAGCAAAAGGGAGAAAAGGGATGGCCGTTCGGTGGACAAAACGAGGAGGAAACGAGAGAGAGGAGAGCGTATCCGGCGGAACGGCCAGCCGCGGTGGGGTGGCGAGGTCTTGGCAGCTCGGTTTCTCGCGTAGTGTGGGAAAGGACGGCGGAGGAGGACCAACATTTTAGGGTCGCAAAGGTTATTGAGGGCTCCCATTAACCGATACACCGCTGCACCGTTGCTATCTTTCGCGCTATTGATGATCTACCGAAAGCAGATTAATGATCTCAACTCCCCGAAACAAATTACCGAAGACGTCGCGTACCTGCAGCAGTCTGACCCGTGCCTCGCCGTCAGCCCTTGTTCCTTTTTCGTTCGGTCGGACGATATTTCTTCGAGCGGGACTGCACGCGTTTTTCACGGTCGTCGAATTATCCGATGCCGCGCGATCCCCCGTGCAACAGCCTCGCGCGGGCATTCGTCCGGGAGTACACCGCGCCGGAAGCGGCGGGAATTCGTCAGCGACGGGGATCGACGTGGATCGCGGAAACCGGCCGCGTTCGTATCTCCGGATCCGTTCGCCGAAATCCGTGGGAAATCGCGGAGCAAATCAATGGCCGGCGACGCGAGCTGCGCGTCCCGCATTTTTGCAATGATCCAAGGGGTCTCGGAGGAATCCAAGATGGCGGCGGCACGGCTGCACGTGTTTTATTTAACTTGTTCGCTCCGCGAACAGACGGGGACGAGAGAGCGAATTACACGCACGTACCCACACAGCGAGGGAGAAAGATAAAGAACCACGGAACGGAATTTCGCGTTTAATGGAGGTATACCCGCGGAGAGAGAACTCGTTACGGCTGACCCGCGAGAATTCCAGCGGTAGATATCGAATCCGCCTCGGTGCTTTTATTTTTACGGGAAGAGCGGCGGAGTTCGGTCGCTCGCCGTGGAGCTGGCCTCTCCTTCTCTCTCTCTCTCTTTCTCTCCTCTCGAGCCGGCCGAGCGTTCCGCGTCGCGTGGAAACCGCCGAAAACGAACACGAGTTCCGCTCGATTAACCGGAATCGGCGTTACGGGGGCCCTCGTCTTACGGGGTGCTAAGCGCCCGTGTCGCTCGTATCGGTAAACTGGTTTACCGATCGTTACCATCACGGGAATTATTCGATGCTGCGATTCAATACGGTTCCGTAAATATGCCGAAGCGCACGCGTCTACGAGCGCGTGCTCGCGAGCCGTCCGTCGCACGAGCGACTCGTCGGTGCACGTACGGCCTTGTTCCCGGATGCTGTTTGTAATTATTTACGAGGAGTCGCGTGGGCAACCGGAGTATGTCGGAGGTGCATCGTCTTGGTCCGCGCGCCGCGCGCTCCGACTTCGTGTGTCGTCGTCGCCGCGTTCTTTCCAGGCGGAACATTGTCGCGAGATAATCGGGGGAGCGATGAGTCTTCTTCAAAGTTACCGGATGCAAGCCGGTTCTCATTAACAATGATTTTCCGACGTCTCGCTGACAGTGGAGGTGACGTCAGCTGCATCGCCGGCGAAACGTCGGGACATCGTTGCCGGTGGACACGGTTCACGCCCGTGAACTTCGAAGAAGTCTCGTCACGGTATTCCCGGCCGAGGAAGTCTCGAGCAAATCAATCGAGGGAATGTTTGCTCCGTCTCTCCGTGGCGACGAACGCGAATCGGCTTCCCGGAAGGATTTATCTCGGTTCGAGGAACCCCGGGTAGTCCGACGATCGGACTGGAAAATGTGCGATTTCCGCGGCCAAAGAACGTCGTTCGCGCGAAACGAACCGGCCCGGGGACGGGCCGAGCGATTCTTCGCCGGAAGAAAGATTCGATTAGAGCGTGGAGGGCGCTCGGCGCAGCGCCCCGACGAGGAGCGGAACGAGATCGGGGAGGCATAATGAAGATCGCAGCGGGATCGTTCGTTGTTCGTGCCACGGAGCCGGTTGAAAGGGCCTATTTGCACTCCGTCATTGTGCTCTACTCGGAGCCGTCGATGCGACCGCCGCCTTCACGCGCCGTCTCTATTGACAGATTCTTTCCGCACACAGACGGAAAGAGTGGAACGGCGAAAAACGAAGAGGAGAGAAACCGAAGGAGGTTGCGTACACCGGCGCGCTCGTAAATTTTTCTTCTCGTAATTGGACACGACAGTTTGCGACCAGAACTCTATTCAGTCTAGAAGCGGTCTTCATCGTCGTCGTTAGTCTCAGTCGTTGGCCACCATTACCAGCAGGAACTTCGCGCATCTCGACTCTCTTTGCGGACGGACGAAAGAACGAACGAACGAACGAACGAACGAACGAAGGAACGCGCGAATGCTGGACGATAATCGCGAAGCCATCGCGACGAAGGCCGACAGGATTTATAATTATCCCATGACGAATTTCGGCGGAGCGATCCCGCGTCTGGCCCACGAGATAGAGACATCGCGACGCGTAAATAAATAGCGGCGGCCCGATCGAGTCTCAACAAGACGCGACACGAGAGATATCGAACGTAAATGATTTGGTTCGACGAGTCGGGTCCAGCTCGGCCGTAGCAATAACAAATCGGGAGGGATAAGATAAAAGCAGCGGTCCGCTGTGCCGTCCGGCGGTTGTATCGGAAACGGGTAAAGGCTGGAGGAGGAGGTCGGAGAGGTACTTACCGACGATTCTCGAGCAGAATGAGCAACAGGGCGACGGTGGGTCCGATCCTAGTCGCGATCCTAGACGGTGGTCCTTCGTAGACGCGTCCTGATCGAGAAGGAGGCATCCTGTCATCGCCCCGAGGACGTCTCGCTTATTCTTTGCGCGGTTTGCCCACTTTAAAAGAGTCGAGTGCGACCCCTCGTCCAGGGCTGCACACCCCTAGCACCCGAACGGAAGGACCCCTCGCTCGAGAGACGGTGCCGCGTCTCTCTTTCTTCCTCTCCGTTTCTGTACGGCTTTTTTCCGAATCCCTCTCCTACTCTTCGTCTCTCGTCTCCGGCGCGGTGCCTGTGATCAGCAGCCTGGCACGCGTCGAGGACTCCTCCTCGCCCCGGGCACCGGCGCTTCTGCTTTGACGTTCCGTACGATTCGAGAGCTTCCAGTTTCGCCGCTTCGAGGGGTCGCTCCGAAAACTACCCCGGGACACAATATCCTCGATGACGATCGAACGGTTCGTCGACCGACCGCCGTCGATTTTCCACCCCTTTCTTCGCTCGCGGGTCTTCTTCCCCCTTTCCTCCGTTCCTTCTTCCTTCGATCCCCGATACGATCGGTCGCCGGCCGGTTCCTCTTCCCCGTGGATCCTCGGACGCGCACCGTCCGCTCGGGATTAGTCGGCGGCGCGTGTCGCGCGAGCCCGTTCGTCGCGAGGCTCCCGTCTTTGGAGAAAAAAGAATACTGCCGTCGAGTGCGTCCGTCGCCGCGCGGCTCGGACTCCTCTTCTCCCGGATCTGGTTCCCGTGGTACTTCACTGGCACTGCGCTCGCCACGGACGGTGCACCGATTCACGGTCGGCGTTAAACATTTCCACGCGGCTCCTTTCTCCGCGATCGATCCGTCCCCCGGTCACTCCGCGACATTACCGCGAATTCAGAGTCACACTTCCGGATCTGGCCGAGTACGCCGCTGTGCCCGGCTATAGGGGTGGCTCTGACGTCTATCCTCGGATGACCACGGAAACGCGGATCGCGTTCGCGACCTCGTCCGCCTCGCTCGTTCCCAGGCACCGCGACATTCCGCCTCGTGTCCTCGTTGCACCCTCGACGCCGTGGAGAGAGGTCGGCGAGGTCGCCGGTGTGCGCGGGGCCCCTTCGCTCCGCTTTCGCGCTGGTCTCTCCCGATCTCGGCGCGCGCGAACCTTCCGAAGAAAAAGAAGATCGACGCGCGGGCTCTGTCTACTTCCGGTGTGTGCGCGCGTTCACGACGAAGTGTCAAGCTCAAATAAAAGAAAAGTCGCCCTCCGGGATCTCTTACTCCTCCCACGCACTCATCCCCCTCCTACGGCTCGTGTTCCTCTTCCACCGTTGGT